TCAAGCGCACCAACAACATTAGCGATTGATCCATGGGAGTTGCTGGAAGAAGTCGAAATTTTGGAAAAACTACCGAAAGATTTCAGTGAGATGGTTGCTTCAAAACAGTGGAAAGATCGGTTAAAAGCGCTTGAGGTATTTATTTGTATAGCAAGTAGACATTCGCAGAGAGCAGCAAATGTTACACTTGATTGAGCTGTAACGTCATATAATCATTTTCTAATACTTCCAACTGAGTAACGATGTATTTTCTATGTATTAACGATGTATTCTGTTTCAAATTCCTTTAACTTCTGCATCAAAACTAAATGTTTGTATGAACGTTGCTTATTTAATTTGGATGATTGTACGGCCACAAACGAGAAAAGTATTGAGCAGATGAGTATCATTGATTTTATCAGTCATTTTTCCAAAATGCATTGATTATTTGCAGTTTTAACTATGTTTTTTTTCACCATCTTTCAATTTTGTTTTTGAGGATCTCAATGGAATTATAACGAAAAGTGAACGTTTAAGCAGTAAAGAAGATTATGGAGAGATTGTGGTAACGTTAGCGAAGGTAATTTCATGGTTGTATTTGAATCGTTTTTCAAGTTTTATGCACAAAATAAGGCCATTGAATTTGTTGCTAAATTAGACATAGTGAGAAAAAATGGAATTTAATGTTATGGACGAAGTTCGATTGATTTTGCTCATAACTAATTGATGTTTTGAAATTCATTCTGCATAGAAGAAATGATAATATTGATTATGTTTCGTTTATTATCATAATCTCACATCAGCTTTAGTAACGAATCGAAGCAATATTCTTTTTTCCGCAGGTATTGGCCAAAGATGTTAACGTGAATGTAGCAGCAATGTCAACGAAATGTTTGAAAGGATTGGCCAATGGAATTCGTTTCAAATTTTCACCATTCGCATCTTTGGTTCGTTTGTTTTAGTTGATTTTTTCATCGTTTTCGCCCTCAATTCATGCGGTAATCCGTAAGATACACATATACATTCTATTGAAAAAGTTGTATTAACGTTTCGAACTTCAAATTTGGAGCAGAAAATGGTTCTGAATCATGCAGACTGGCTCTTATCGAGGATCAACATTGATATCNTTTTTTTTCAGGTGATGAAAAGCGCCTTGCAAAAGTTCAAAGAGAAGAAAACCGTCCTTCGTGAGCCACTCATCGAATTGGTCGATAGTATTGCAGTCATTGTGAGTTGGCTGAGCCATTGTTCGATTGAGTCCGTCGATTGTCTGTGCTACATATTCTATGAACTGATGATGAGCGTTCAGTGATATTCTTAGAAAACTGTTAAGATTCCTTATAAAGTTTTGTGAAAGTTTAATTTGAGTATTTCGGCATGATTTGTTGCGATATAAGTCAGATTGATTTCACAATAATTCAGTGTATTTTCTAAAAGCATTCAGACACCGTTGTCATCGTATGTTGATGAAGTGAGCGCAGCGATGGCGCAAGTGAATCCACAAATAAAATCACAAACAGCACTCTTCATGGCTAGACTTTTGAAACAGCACAACGCCAAAACTTTCCCAGATCAATTCAACTCATTAGCACCTCAAATCAACAAGGTATCGCTTCGCATTCAGTGAATTCTATACTCTTCATGATTATCATTTTTTTACAGTCTTGGACAATACCTTACATAGTTTCTTTTATACTCGTACAATTTGTCATTTCACTGTTTGTGACTGAGTTTCGATCGTTAATCTTAGAAATTGCCATTTTGATTTTAATCTGCTTTTCAACTTGATTTTTTTTTTATTTTGCACAGCAAGTTTAACTGAAAAGGAGTTTGACTGAAAAAAAAGCTTGTTAAAACCGGAGATTCTATTAGAAAAGACTAGCAATCGCTTACTATTGTATCTGATAGAAATGAAATTGTTTTGCTCAAATCATCATTCTAATTTATGGATATCGATAATGAGTTGTGACATTGTTTTCAGTTGACAACAGATCCAGACACAGAAGTACGTGATGCGTCATATTGTTTACTTGGAGCGGCAATGAAATCGCTGACTGAAAGGCAAATGAATGCCTTATTCAGTGATATTGTTAATGATAACATCCGAATGGCTAAGGCAAGTTGTGCATTCGTTTATTTAGTTTCGTTGTTAACTCAGTTTTTTTAGCTTCAGCGTTCCGGTTCTTCCTTTTGCCTTTTTCGTTCGATAGGTCACTTGGTTTACGTGCATCACACTTCTTGAATTTTATTTTTGTTCTGTTTTGAAGAGAGAATGAATACGGTCGTCGATTTTATAAAGTGTGTTACCAAAAGAGCAAATTCGTGAAGCAATCTTCAGAGCGAAGTTGTTCACAGGAATTTCTATCCCAAGTTTTCTGCCGTGTCGCTTTGATGGTGAATTCGATGAAAAATCTCGCATGCAGCTTTATTAAAGAAATCAACCGTAACGATGACTGTCAGTGATTATTGCTTGAGTGTTTAGGTGAAAGAACAACATGCGAAAGTGGTCGAAGAATGCGGTGATGCGGCAAGTGATGCGATATTAAAACTGTTGAAAGCAACGGATAGTACAGAAACGACTGCAGCCACGAAGAACGTGAGCAAATCGTCCGAAGGTGGCAAAGATTCAGCGCGTAAACCTGCAACTGCAATTGGTCATAACAAACGACCGCAGCAAAATACGGTAATTCGCTTTTCCTTCGAAGAGTCCTTACATTAATGATCTTATTCAGTTACTTTTTGTGTGGAATTTTTTTTGGCTTTGCTCAATTTAAAGGAAATTTTTTCGAGTTGAGTGAGATTATGTATGCATTCGTAAGCAAGTTGACAGGAGTTGTGATTGTTTGTGTGAACAGAAAGTATCGTAGTTTATCAACTGACTGGTATATGATCAAAAACATTGTTGAAGAAACAAAGTCAACGAATTTCTGCGAAATAAACTTTTTTTATTAAGTGGAATATAATCAAGCTGTCATTAAATTTATTCATCTCTGTGGAGAAGAATCTCAGAGCACATCATTTGAAGCTTTTGAGCAACAAACCTACATGATCGTCTCTTCATTTTGTTGTTCTGTTTTGGATGTCTTCGAATTTCTTTTCGTTTGTGATTATTAATTGAAATTGTTTGTTGCAGCGTGCACAAGATCAACATCTCGCACGTATGATGGCAGCTCGTAAAGGAGGAGGAACACCAAAAACGAATATATCATCATCGGTTAGCACTCCACATTTGTCTGCTCATCCAAGAAGGGCTAGTTCATCAATCAATCGCGCTGTCAGTCCTCTAACAAACGGTAATGCCACACAAACACCTCAGCAATATAATTTCGCATCAGGGCCGAGAAAGGTAATCGAATCATATTTGTTTTCTTTTGTTTTGTATCAGAATTGTACGGCTTTTGAATTCAGTTTTGTTGTGTTCAAGCTGAAAATAAATTTTAGTGTATAATATTCCGTTAAACTATTCGAAAACGAATGAATGAATATGCGAATTGACTGTTGATATTTGTTTAGATGCCATCCGCTGGTGACATTCGTCACAATGTTGCATCAGCACCACAATCAGCTCGAAGCCATCACGTCGTGATGACCTCTCAAGCACGAGGCGTTGAGGAGCACATTGCCAGACTTGCGCAAAGGCGTGCTGCCGAGCAATCAAAAGCGCAGAACAAGGATTGTCAGTTGATGAATTTGAAGCTTTCATAACTGCACCGTTTTTTTTTAACCAATTCCGCAGTTATTCATTTTCAAATTCCATTCTCTGGTACAGATTTCCTCGGGTGCACTTGTGAGTGAATGAGTTTTATTTGTGAAATTTTCAGATCGCAGTCGTGTCAGAAATCCTTCAGCCGGACGTTCAGTACCACAGAATGCAACAACGAGTGGATACTCATCAGCGAGAGGAGCAGGTGACGTCTTTCAAGACATCAGAATCTGATTTTCCCCATCAGGGAATTTGGGTGGCGATCATTTAGAGTAGTTTCGACGCAATCAGAAATATTCACTCATCTCAACTCGGAACTTCT